ATGGGCCTCTAGCTCACCCTGCAATTAACATGTCCCACTTCTCCCAGGATGGTCTCTCAGGCATAGTTGGCGGTTCTTTGTTGTTGCCCACTGGAATGACTTGCCAAATATGAGGAGGTTAGAACAGGTGGTAAATTTGGAACAGGGTTCCCCAAGACCCAAGTCTAGGTGTCCCAAGATCATTTATCAGTCTGAATGAATCATTTATCAGTCTGGTTACAACCAGAGGGTGCCCCCCAAACCCAGGTGTTCTTATCAGTCTGGCTGCAAAATAATTGGTTGGAGTGAAGGTGTCCTCAACCCAACTAATAATGGAACATTCAGAACACCCACACAATAACACTATCTTAAAGTAACCTACCAAAGCTCATGCTGGGCAAGCAGGCCAGGTAACCTGGGAGACTTAGTGGGTCTCAGTAACCCAGCAACCCCAGCCAATCGGTGAGACACAATGCCAACCCAGATTTCCATCTATTCTGCCACTATCAGGAGGAAGGTTTTTTATTGCTAACTGAATTTTCCTCCAGGAATCCATCACAACCTGATCTCAACTAGAAGAGGAAGACAGAGTAATTTAACAAACTCTGCACCCTCCCTCCTAATGGATTATTCAAACATAAACTTTATAGGGTAGACTTTGGATAACAAAAAGTATCTAAAAGTATGACAGGTTATCAAAATATAACTGGTCATTACCTGCTCACCCCTTAAAAATAAAAGGCAAATCCTGAAAGCTAAAATTATTGTCCAGGCATTTGGCATAAATCATTACATTCTTGCTAACTTGATCATACACCAGACTAAACAGAAATTATGGTCCCAGACACAAGTAAATTTTACACTCATCTAGCTTAAGAGTTCCACAGAGAATAGAAATAGAGGACTTACATCATAGTGAGTCTTTGTCTTTCAGCTTAAGCCAGTGTCTGCAAAGAGTAAGTGACCAGTGGAAGTGAGATGAATTGAAACAAACTCTAGAAATATCTTTCACAAAGTCTGAATAGGTATACATGACTTGGGGTAGGTAAAGTAGACATTCCAGATAACTGAAAAAAATGAAGACAAAAGAAGGTGAGCATAGGTAGAGTGTGAGTAGATCATGAGAACATGGGAGTAGATCATGTGAACATACCAACACTACCAGCAACAGACTGCCAGGATATGTTCTAGTTTTCTTTGTTTTTCAATAGCACCATGACATGTTATAGAAGAGATAATAAAAAGATAGAAAAATAACTAATAAAAATAAAGTGAAAAGTGAGATTGAAGGTGACCTACTAAACCAGGGATATGAACCATGTCTGAGCATTCACCTGAAGAATCCAAACACTACTTTGAAGAAATATATGTACCACCAGGCTTATGAAAGTATGATTTGCAGGAGTCAAGATCTGGAAACAACCTCAGTGCCTGCTAACAGGTAATTGGATAAAGAACATATGACACACACACACACGCACACACACTACAACACTGTTCAGCTATTTCAAAAAGACGAAATCCTGTCACTTGTCACAACATGGATGAACCTAGAGGGCATTATACCTAAAGAAGTAAGTCACTTGGTGAGAGAAAAACACTGTAAGATTTCACTCACATATGCTATACAATAGAGACCAAATAAGAAAATATACACTAATAAAACAAAATAAAAGAGGAATAAGATAGGTGCACAGAAACAACTTGTGTCTTGGAAGAAATAATCTGGGCCGCCCTAAATTTATACAGACAGAACCGCTTTAAAGGAGGTGGTTTGGTTTGGGGTTTGGTTTTGACTAAAGCCTGGGCGCCCTCTGGTGTGCACTGTGAGCAGAACCGCATCTGTTGCAAATCATGTTCTTTTGGAAGAGTGTTCCGCTGTAGGATCAAGATCGCTTCTATTTCCCTGCATGGTTTGGATTCCATGTTTGTTTGTTTGTTTGTTAACCAAGCTACTTGATAATCCTCTGCTTTAAAGCCATATCTTCTTTCTGGCTAAGGAAAGTCACAGATTTCCTTTAGCCTAGGGGAGAAAAATTAACTCTTGAGATACTTTTATTTCAATGTAATGTCAATGAGGAAGATATTTGGAATTTCTTAAGTCCATCCTTAAAAGAGGTTGAACTAGGATTTAAATAAACTGAAGTTTCAGAAATTATTCAAATAGTTTACAGAGGTTCCTCTTGCCCAAGGCCAGGGAAAGATTCCTTAGAATTTATTTGCATTGGTCTGAAAAACACCTTATAAAGAGTTCATATTATAATAGCAATGAAAAGTGGAGGGTGCTGTTGATCAAAACCACCCCTACAAAATCTTTAATCCAACTATATTAAGGTAAAGAGAGTGTAGAGTATATGTGAGTAAATTATCTATTGAGTGCTGAATAGGAGGTATCTAATGTCTGAGAGTGGCTCACTGATTGTATGTTCTGCTTATCTTCAGTTTTCAAAATATACCAAAGCAAAGGCCAACACTTAAACCCAGAATTCTGCTATGTACTTGAATTTTTAAAGGTCTATTTATTTATGCATCAGAGAACTGGAGTGTAGGCCAGAGGTGTTTGTGTGTGGGGTGGGGAGGGAAATGATTCATCGTAGAAAGAGTGGGGAGCAGAACAGGTAGACCTGAAATGCACTACAAGGGGAAGTAGCAAGAGAGACAGGCCTGCTGTGTCACTTATAGGTCAGCTCCCTGGCCCTGATTTGGCCGGGGGTCACTCAGGCCATACCTGCGACAGTGCTGAAACTTAACCCCTACACCACCAGGCAAGCCCCTGCTTTCAAACTTCTGACACAGATACCAATTAAACTGTCCAGGAAATCATTATATAAGAAGTGGAGTTTTGTCTGTGTATGCAATAAAAGCCCATGATTTGGTTCAGGATACGGGCATGAAAACAGGTCACTATCATTACTTTTCAAAAGAAAGGTCGTCAATCGCACATTTTAAGAACTATCCTTCATCAGATGGGATGACTTCAAAGATAGAAGGGGTATGAACAAAAAAGAAAGAAAGAAAGAAAATCTCATACTTATATTTGGGAATAAGAAAGAAAAGTGGATCGCACATCAAAGCAGATGTTCTCTCGCAACATAGGACATAGAATCTTGACGCTTTATTCCCTTCAGAAACGTTGAAAAGGAAAAGGGGGGTTCGTGGTGCCTTCTCTTCGCCGCCTACCTCTCCCTCTTTCCCCAAGGCAGGCGCGGTGAAGTTCAGCACCTCGGAAAGCGCCCCCTCTCCCCGCGCGCGGGTTACGCATGCTCCTTGGGAGCCCGCAACCGCAGCTTTGCGGGTGTGAGTGTAACTCGGCTTGAACCCGCAGTCAACAACTTGGGAGTTGACAGCAGTGGAGAGGCTGAGAGGCGAGGCAGCGGAGGCGACTTTGACAAACCTCCACACAGTCAGAAGGAGGTAGACGCAGAATTCTCCTCTCTCAAAGAACATAAGCCTCCAAACAGCAGCAGCAGAGGAAATCAACAAAAGGTATTTATTTGAAAGAGGAGCGGGCCCCCAACAGCGTTCCCGAGCGACCTGGCGGGTTATGCCCTCGCGACGGCGGGAAACTCAGGGTGGGGGATCGCCTTGTCTTACAGAGGCGACCCGGTAGTCGCGGATCGGGTCGTGGGAAACCTTGGTCGCCGACCTTCCTCCTTAGAGGCTGCGCTTCTCCGCGCTCAAACTCCCCTTCAGAGCAGACTGGGGAGCTCAACTCCCGCGAAGCGCTTGGCATCCCGTTGCTAGGCTGCCCAGTCAGCGGCTCTCGCGAACGCCCTGCACCCTCGGCCGGCTCGCAACCCGGGCAAGCTGGACTTTCTAGATCTTGCCTCCGGAACATGACCTAGAAACACAGTGCATACAGGTGCCCCTGCAGCCACGACAGCCACCATGAATAAGGCGGCTGATGGGGACGAGCTCACAGAACTCTTGGGTGGAATCCCGGACCTTTTGCAGGCAGCCAACACCAGCGGCAACGCGTCGCTGCAGCTCCAGGACTTGTGGTGGGAGCTGGGGCTGGAGTTGCCTGACGGGGCAGCGCCGGGACACCCCCCAGGCAGCGGCCGAGCGGACGGTCCTGACACCGAGGCGCGGGTGCGGGTCCTCATCAGCGTGGTGTACTGGGTGGTTTGCGCGCTGGGGCTGGCAGGGAACCTGCTGGTGCTCTATCTGATGAAGAGCAAGCAGGACTGGCGCAAGTCTTCCATCAACCTCTTCGTCACCAACCTGGCGTTGACGGACTTTCAGTTCGTGCTCACCTTGCCTTTCTGGGCGGTGGAGAACGCTCTGGACTTCAAATGGCCCTTCGGCAAGGCCATGTGTAAGATTGTGTCGGTAGTGACGTCCATGAACATGTACGCCAGCGTCTTCTTCCTCACCTCCATGAGCGTGGCGCGCTACCGCTCGGTGGCCTCGGCTCTTAAGAGCCACCGGACCCGAGGGCACAATCTGGGCTGCTGCTGTGGCCTGAGCCTGGCAGACAGTTGCTGCTTCTCGGCCAAAACATTGTGCCTACTCATCTGGGTTTCAGCCGCGCTGGCCTCGCTACCCAACGCCATCTTCTCCACCACCATCAAGGTGATGGGTGAGGAGCTGTGCCTGGTGCGCTTCCCTGACATGCTGTTGGGAGGTGACAGGCAGTTCTGGCTGGGCCTCTACCACTTGCAGAAGGTGTTGCTAGGCTTCGTGCTGCCTCTGGGCATCATCAGCCTTTGCTATCTGCTGCTGGTGCGCTTCATCTCGGACCACCACCGAGTGGTGGGGACAGAAGGAGTGGGGTTGGCGACTGGAGGAGGCTCGACTGGAGCCAGCGCCCGGAGACGGTCCAAGGTCACCAAATCAGTGACCATTGTGGTCTTATCTTTCTTCCTGTGTTGGCTGCCCAACCAGGCGCTCACCACCTGGAGCATCCTCATTAAGTTCAATGCGGTGCCCTTCAGCCAAGAATACTTCCTGTGCCAGGTATACGCGTTCCCGGTGAGCGTTTGCTTGGCTCACTCCAACAGCTGCCTCAACCCCATCCTCTACTGCCTCGTGCGCCGAGAATTCCGCAAAGCGCTCAAGAGCCTGCTGTGGCGCATCGCGTCCCCTTCGCTCACCAGCATGCGCCCCTTCACCGCTACTACCAAGCCCGAGCCAGAGGACCAGGGACTGCAGGCTCTGGCCCCGCTCCATCCCGCGCCCGAGCCCGATCTGCTCTCCTACCCGCCCGGGGTCGTGGTCTACAGTGGGGGGCGCTACGACCCGCTGCCAAGCAGCTCTGCCTGCTGACGCAAGGCGGGCCCGGGTGCGCGATCCGACCCGGGCCGAGTGGCCTTCCCTGGGGAAAGAAAAAGGACAGCGTACTGAGATTTGGGGTTGGGGTGAGGGGAGACGGAGTTAGGAGTAGTGTGTGTGTGGGGGGGAGGTGGGGAGAAGCGTGGTGTTGAGCTTGAGAAAGGCCAGGGGACCGTTTCCAGGGAAGGGAGACTGCGAAACCGAGTAGAAAAGCAAGTTGGCAACGGTGCTGAGATCAGTGTCATTAGCCAGGTCACCAGTGTCTGCCCGGCTCCCCCCCTCCCCACCTGCTCACCTGCTGCTTCTTCTCATTGGGCTAACAACTTTGGGCAATGAGGCGGCTCCCAGAAGCAGAGAGGGGCATTAGGAATGTAGAAATTGGGGCGTGAGTGATTGGGGCTCAGTCAAATGATGAGCAGACAATCGACAACATTTATCCCTTGCAAACGTCCTTGAGGAGCTGCCCACCGAAACTTTCTTTTGCGCCTTGGCAGGTGAGACTGCTGGAGCGGTCTGACTTGCAGAGTGGCTGCTGGCGTCCTCGTTTGGACACAAGAAACTTCCTCGGAGTTGGGAAAAAGAAACCACCATGGTCCGATGTCTGAAAAATGCGCCACGAAAGGGTCCCTTCTCTCAGGGCCGTTGTATCCTCTGGCATCTGGAACGAGCTGGTGGGCACACGGGGAGCCGGGCGCCCACTCTGGCATGGCCTAGCGAGCAGATGTCACCGCGCGCAAAACGCTGGGCTGCAGCGAGGAGAGCGATTCCCGCGGGCGCTGCGTCTCTGCGGGAGGGAGTGGTCGCGATTACCGCGGAGGGGCAGAAGGACCTCCGCGAACTACCGCTGCAAAGGAAAGAAGGGACGCTCAAGGCAGGAAGTGGAGCCGGAGGAGCTGTGGGCAAGCTGGAAGCCGGGGGGTCCCGGTTCTCTCACCGGGGTGTGGGTGTCGGAAGACTGTGTGCTCAGCTCCGCCCAGCAGGTGAGACGCGCCCAGGATTAACTAGCCAAGGTCTGAGTAGACAGCTACCAGGAGTGGGAACATTTTGGGAACAGGGTTGCTGGTTAATTGTGCTTCTGAACCAGCTAGAGGGGGAACTGGCCCCCCCATGATTTTTGGAGACTTACACAGAAGATTAAAAGATGTGATAGAGGCTGGGGCGTGGGGGTGGGGGGTGAGGGGAAAGGAACAGCAACTTTCCTGAAAATCACATTCCTAGAGCTGGAGTCTGATCTTTCAGGGGTGCTGTGGGCTGGGAAAGGGGCTAGAGACTCACCTACAATGTGTCCTAAAGGGAAGAGAGTAGGGAGAGTCGCTTCTGGGGGCTTTCCCAGAATTCCAGGTGTGGGGTTCTTTTTTATTGATTGAGATACATTGGTTTGCAGACTTGTTCGTGTTTTAGAGGTATAGGATCGCCCCCTGCAGGTCTTGTTACTGCACCACAAGATGTGGAGTTATTTATTGCTCAATATATTGAGGAAAAAAGGTGGACAGTAAGAATTCCCATAGGACACTACCATAACCAAGTTCCGTTTTTCTAACGAGTGCCTGAGGCTTCACAAGGCACCCCCCAACCCCAGTGTAGAGGACCCTCTCTGAAGCATATCACCTTTCCAATGACAACCCTGCTGGTCAGCCCGTTCCTGAGGCTCTGAGAACTGGGATTAAGCATCTGTCCACCCACCCATCCGCCAGCTTTGGCAGAAGTGCAACTGCTCTCTGGCATCCTAGTGGGTCTGGAAGCCAGTCATGTGGGCACTACTCCCTGTGGCTATTTTAATAAAATAAATGCTGTAAAAATGTCTGTTTAAATGGCCTCATGGACTATACATTGTGGTGTAATTTTGTTGAAAATGTCCTGTACTGTCTGAGATTTAAGGCTCAAATTGTGAGCTCCAGAGCCCAGCATCTCCTGGCCTGCTTTCCGGAAACAGCCCATCACTCAACACTCAGACCTTGTCACCCACACAAGGGCTGCCTGGTGTCCGGTGTCCTCAATCTTGAGCAGTCTTGGGGAGTTAGCTTTTTTTTAGAAAACAGAATAATATTCTTGTTCTAGATCAGCCAAATTAGTTTCTCTTTGTCTTTTGGGAAACAAACATTGATATTTGATTGGGAGATATGGATATGGAACAGTAATTGGATTAATAAAGATTGAAATGTTAACCTTCCCCCTCTCCAGTCCCTGAAATACAAAATAATGAAAAAATAAAGACCCAGAAAGAATCAACAGCAGCAGAGTGGTAAACCTGAGTCTAACCTTGTAGGACTTGAGAGATTCTCTTTACTAAAGCAACTTGTCACTTCACTTGTGACAGAAAGTAGTAGAGGTGACCCAGGTTTCTCCGAAGAGCAAGCAAAAAACATCAGTCTCATCTACTGCAAGGACAAAAGAATCAATAAGAAAATGACAGGAATGCACTGAAATCAACCATTTATTTTTTGAAAGCTTGCTGTGTGCCCAACCTTGTACTGAGCACAGAGATCACGTCCATACACAGACCAGTTCCTGACCTCCATGTTAGATGGATACACAGCAGTGTCCACAAGGCAGAGAGGTCCTGGGGACATGAGCCCAGGGTCATAGTGGAAAGGGGTGGCCAACCTGGTACTGGGCAGGGTGAGGGGCACACCAGAACCCCAAACCTGCCCACTCTAAATAGGTTCTGCCATCTGGAGCATCAAGACAAACCATTCTCTACCATGTAAGGCCGTTAGTGGAAAGAAACCTTCATACAATTAGTATGTAATAAAGAGAAGGGAACGAAAAGAATAAGCACTTTTCAAATCAAGCACGGTAAGTTACCTATCCCCTGGTGGGTCAATGCCCAGCATATCGGGGTTGGCCCAAAGCAGGACCACTGAGGCCCCCAAACTGCCACACGTCTAAGGCACCGTCTGGAGGGACCCATGGAAAGGGGCAGAAAGGTCCAGGCAAAATCAAGATCAACGCTGTCACTGTTCCCCTCCCCATGGTCTCTCAGCCAAGTCTGTCTCCTCCCATGTCCAAGGTCAGGCCCCAGCCCCCCCGCTAACACAGCCTTTTCACAGGCCTCCTGCCCCTAGTCCCTTCTCCAGGTCTCCTTGCTTTCCCCCTCTTCATCTCCAGCTTCTCCTCCTCCCTGCTCTGCTCCACCCATCTTGGGTGAGTCAGGGCACCTAGAACCTCCCCTGTCCCTGGGGACCACTCAGTTCTAACAGTGGCACTGAAAGAAAGTACTTTTGGACTTCAGAACTGAAAAAGCTTGATTCTGCAGAGGGTTCAGGGACTTTCTGGTTAAGATCAAATGTGAGTTGAACCAAAACATGTGGGTACAATTTCAGTGTGCAGAAATGATCATTTAGATAGGGAGTGGACTTGGGAGGAGACATCTGAAGCCAAGGGAGTGCAGTTTCAGCCTCCACTGGAGTGTGAAGAGCAGGTGGGTAGTGTGCTTCTCTTTCTCCCCCAGGGTTCATATTAAGAATTTGGGGTGTCTGCGCCCTGGGGGTGGTGGAGCTGTGTTGCATGTGACTCCCCAAAGGAATGAGATCTTCTTTTGGGAGTGAATATAGCAGTGCAATACAGGGGGACTTGATTGTGAGAGGGGGGTCAAGTGGGAAGCTGGAGCAGAGGAGAGCAAGTCTCAGAGGTGGAGTGTGGTCTGAGAAGAGGCCCCTCCCAGCCCACCCCCCCCCAAGATCTGGAAAGAAAGAGGATTTAGGGGGCATGGATATAGCACAGGGACCCAGAGCGCCTGTGTGGGAGAAGGGAGCTGTGTGGTCTGCAGGTGGAAGGACACAGGAGCAGTGGACAGGAAGGTCCACTTGGGCGGAAGCCAGAGGCTCTGGGTGGAGCTAAGCACGAGACGAGAGGAAGCAGGGTGGGCTCTCTTAGTATTCTTGGTCCACCAATGTTGGAAGTGGACATGAGACTCTTAAACACCCTTCTAGTGTGGAAAAGGAATGACGAAAGCCTCTCTGAGCAGGCTTCCTCCTCCGACCCTCCACAAGGGCTGACACAGGAGGGCCCCCAGGGCCATATTACCTAACTTGGCTTTCTAGTGTCCAGAAAGGAAGCAAAAAACACAAAAGCAGCAGCAGCCCAGCTCTGCACCTCCGAGGCGGTGCAGGTGAATATTTAAGGCCAGGAGGGGCAGGAGGAAGCGCCTCTCAAGCAGTGGCAACAGTTGCATTGATCCAGCGCCAGCTCTGGTCAGCCAGCCCCAGCTCTGGTCAGCCAGCCCCAGCCTGCCCCGCCAGCCTGCAGGGTAGGAGCTGTCCTTCAAGGAAACAGCAGTGTTGTGCTGCCTAGCATAGGTTATGTTGCTTCAGATGACTTATGGGAGGTCTCTGCCTCAGTTTCCTCCTCTATTAAATGGCTATCAGTTACAGCATCCCTCTCCAGGTCGTTGTATAACACAGGGAAAACATTAGCAAGTACACCTTTAATTACTGCACGTTACTAATGGCCACAACTCTGAGCTAGGAATAATTAATCACCCTCAATATATGGAGGATAAGTAAGTGGGATCTGGGGAAGCTCAGGAATTTGCAGCAAAGCCGGGATCCAAAGCCCATGGTCTTCCTATTAAATCAAGCTGCCTGTCAAAGCTGTTAAAATGCCCATCATGTGAGAAGCAGTTGAAGGGGAATAGCTGGAGAAAAATATCTTAGCATGGAGAAGATCATAGGAGAACTAGGATGCTGCTGTTTGAAAGATTTTCTTATCAACTCCAGAGGCTGTATTTACTGTGTCAATAAAATGATTTGCTTAAAAGTTATCAATCAGGGCCCTCCCTGGTGGCGCAGCGGGTTAAAGCACAGCACTAAGAAACTAAAGCCACTTCTGCATGAGTTCGATCCCTGCCTGTCCCGGAGGTGACCACATGGCGTGACAGACCTCTCCTG